AGAGAGGTTTCCTTCGAAATTTGCATGCGGTTCAAGGACATAGACTGTGAGCACAAGAGAGATGGAGGGAGAGGAAAAGAGCCTGAGGTATTTTGTTAATGGTGCGAAAGGGTTAAAGGGTTCGGAGACAAAAAACAGCAGCCGAGACCAGGAAGGAATTGTGCGTTCGAGCGATCGGTACCTGCTGAGTCGGCCATAAAAAACTAAATGTTTTATGGTTGGCTAAAAAATGCACTGCGCTTTACGCGGAAGTGGGATTTTGTGCCACCAGATGAGTCCTTGTGCAGTTTATGGACTAAATAGGGAGCGGGACTGACGGAAGGGAGGGAGAGGAGGAATCGTATGTAGAGCGAGCTTCTTTCTAATGAGTTCAACATTTTCGAAACCTCTGGTAGCTAAGACTTTCTGGCTGTTATTTAGTTTACAAAACGCGTGATTTTCCACTGATTTTCATTGTCAAGCCATAGCCAAACCAGACTCTGTGTGTCTGTCCATTACCTGCAACGTGGCATGCAAACTATGTGGCAATAAAAGTCGAAGCAACCAGCCAGCCAGCCAGCAAGCCAGCCAACAACCCATCGACCAAATTTTTGGCCAAACATAGCGGCAATTGTCGCAGGACGTTATGCGAGTTGTCCTTCACGCTTTTGTCGCTCTCAGCTACTTTTACTGCGTAACCATTAAAGGAGACAATGAAAATTAGAGCAACTATGGCCACTCGCCCAAAATCCATATCCTTGCACTGTTCCTGCTGTGTTTGTTATTCCGTTGTTCAGTTGTCGCCGTCGCTGCTTTTACGATTGTCTCTGCTCTAGTTTCCTTTTTTAATCCTTCGGTTTTTCGTGCTAAAAAAGGATTTACGCTCGTTTCAGCCGAAATTCTTGCCTTGTGGGCGTAACGTCGCGAGTTTTCTTTGGCTTTTGATTTACGGGTATTGTCGCATTCGCCGGCCTATGATGCTATTTGCATTTCTGCTCTGTGTGTTTGTGTATGTATGTTTGAATAATATGTATGTATTTTGCTTATAAATATGTATGTATGTATCTATTGCAAGCAGGATTCGAGTTAAAAGAGTTGCACTACTCATGAATAATTCCTGATGCAAAAGTTTTCTGTGGGGCTCCACTCTAGATTCTATGTATAAACAAAGTTTAAACAGTCTCGCCAAAAACTGTTGAACAAGGATTATTTTGATTGCTTACTCAAAAAAAGCTTTTGAGCTAGAAAAATAAAACCTATCCAAGCTAAAATAATATCCAACTGTATGCAACTCGTAAAACGAAAAGAAACAATGTCAAGCAACATACACGTATCTGCATTCTGGTAGGGAGAGATTTCAATACTGGCTGTTGAATCTAAACGTCTTTGGTACTGACTTTTGTCGGGCAGCTTAATGGCTAAGATGCTTCGAGATCATTTGGACATGTCGATCAGCAAAAAGTTGTATGGTTTCATAGGTCGTTGCTATGCCAAAGTCCTTGTGTATAAACGCGTATCGAAGTAGGATGCGTTCGTAATCAGCCTCGGCTTTACAAATACCTCGTACAGCAGCAATTTATTTGCCAGCATATTGTTTTAGATTGAATAAAATTGACAAAATTACTGAATTTAAACATGAACGGAACCAAACATTTCTTTAATTTTATGTTGATAATGTTTAAATTATTCAGATCATTCCGAGCCTTGTTCCAGTAAGGATATCTAGCTCTTAAATAAACTTCATCCACATAAGCATTAGCGGATTATGACAAATTTGTGTCCCTATCTCGTATACTCTTCTAGATCAAGGGTCCACCGCGATACAGACAGACGAACACAAACTACTGTCAATATAGAGTATGTATTATATTTGTTATAACTTATCTGTGTGTTCTGTCAAAATAGATAATATAGTATAATAGGCCTTATAAGCTGAAACAGCAAAAATAACACCAATGCAGGAAATCAAAATAATATAAAATATTATCTGCCATAACACATTATTATAAATATATATATATATATAAATTATAAAAAATTTATAGATCTATTTGAGATCTAGCTCAGAACTTCTTTGTAGCTCCTTGGACAGCCCCGTCCTTATATTATTTAAAAAGTAAACCTTATCCAGAATGCGCTCTGGAGTCTGAAACTTCTCCTACTCTATTCGTATTGTCTTAAAAATAATGATGGAACACTTCTAAGTAATTCCCTTTGCATGTTAACTCTAATCTTAGTCCTGAAGACAGATTGCCCAAAACAGAATTATTATTATATTCTTTTTTGTCTGAAATCCTTATTCGTACAAAAAGCATTACTCAATTAGCACTACAGTAGCGTTGAAAAAAACTATCCAAAATCAATTTGCACTTAAGATCAAAGAGCAAAAGAAGTGCGGGGAAGCAAAGAAAAATAGAAAAAGCAAATCATCCTCAGCGTGAAATCAGCTTAGAAACTCAAGGTGATATCTCAACTGATTGTGAGGCCGTCGGTCTCGGAGTGCGCCAAATGAAAACAAAACTAATGAGCAAGCAACTGGCGAGGGTCCAAAAGGCAAGCTCGGTCAACCACATAAGTCTGCCACAAGGACTCAAAGCCGCCCCTATGCGCCTCGTTGCACATTTGCATATGCAGTCCAACAACAACAAAAGCAACAACAACAACAGCAAGAACAACCATCATAGCAGCAACAAAAGAAGACAAACTCAAGACAAGATCTTCAGGACGATTCTGTGAGTCAACAGCAGGCAATAGGTTGAGGTTAAGTAGCACGGCACGGCCGAAGGATTTGCATATCACTCACCCTCCATATATACGAGTATATTCTGTATGTATAGGGCATGTGTCTGGCAATTAGCCAAAAATGGATGATCATGATGATGTTTGTGTAGATCAATCGCCATCACTCAATTAAAAGGTCAAGCGTGACGCGTGATCCTCGATCTTGATCCCTCGGACATGTGCCAACATGTCTCGGCATTGATTCGGCTTAAGACATTTGTTTTGTCACAACTTTACATAATGGCCGAGGACTGATACTCCCACTCTTTGAGTTGAGACGCACACCCGCCCGCTTAAGCAGCGCTAATCGGGCGATCAACGTGCGCTAATCATGGCCAGCTCTAGGGGATCAGCAGCGCGAGGATCAACTGATCCTGGCATTCGCGTAATATTGGATTATATATTTCGGCTTGGGCTTGGACTTTTAAATCACTTTTAAATCTATGCAAAACGCTGCTCTAGTTTCCCTTTCCATTCCACCTCGCGTCTCTGTTTCCACGGATGCGCGGGATTAATGAACGCAGGACACGGGGCGCGGCACAGGTAGCTGCCCGCCTTTAATCCTTTTAGCGGTTGTTAAGTCCGCACTGCGCGCTTAAGTCCGGTTGCAGTTTTCTAATCCGGTTGACGACGACAGCGACTTCAATGATGCGCCTGCCCAAGTCCAGCTACCTGCTGAGACTTACATAGTAAGTATATTCCCAGTATGCCGGCCAGGCCCAGACCACTGCAGGCTGCTGGCCCGCTCCCTCGCCTCCTGTGTGTGAATAACTCGTGTTATTTGCTTTTAACTGCATATTGTTTGCATATTTTTGCAATAGTTTGTTTTGCAAATATTACTTTTCTGTGCACAATATTTTCTCTTTTTTCTAAATCATTCTAAATTTTGTTCTGATTCTGTACATTGACTGCCAGCCTTTTATCCAATGAGACAGAGAGAGAACAAAAAAATGTATATAAAAATTGCCAGTTATTCAGTTATTAAAAGATTGTTATTTTGTTTGAAATATTAGACTTTTTAACTGATTAAGGGAAGATTTTTCATCTAATCTATTAAATTCGCATAGTTTTTATATTCTTCAAAAATAAAAAAATGAAAATATGTGGTATTCCTATAGTAGATGAATTTAAGGAATGCTTTTAAAAATGAAAGCCCCCAATAATCCCATAAAACGCACATTAGAAAAGTAAAACACTAATTATATTGTCCACAAAATATTTGCCAATTACCATGTACATATGTATTTACATGTCTTTATCTAAAACTACGTACAAGTATGTATTCATGTATTGTGAGCAGGAAAACAACAAGTCTATTGCTGTCCGCTCACACAATGTGGCCCAAAAGCTCATTTATGCCGCTTCACACTCAGCCTAAACAGTAAGTGTTTAAAAATTTGACCAACTCAGCGTGAGGCGCACAAAAGTTGCATTCTCAGCCACCAACGGTCAGCAACAACGCACAACGAGCCAAAAATCAATAATCAATATTAAACCGAATTTGCCAAAAAAGCGTTGCAACATTTTGCAGTGAGAAGAGTGGACGTGGCAACCGTCAAATGCAGGACGACAGGACGCAGGCACTAGGCAGCTGCAAATGCAACAACGTGCAACATCCAAACTGATGTGCACGAAAAGCGTGAGAGCAGAAGGGGAAACTCCTAGACCTCGCCACTAACTAAAACACATGCATATTTACATATATACAGCATCATCCAAATACATACATATGCACATGTGTATGTATGTATGTATGTATGTATTGTACATTCATTGCTTTACCTGCACTTAAAGATACACGCTTGATATGTGACAAAGCTCAAATTTTCGGGCGCCAAATTGTGTGTATATTGGCGCTGCATGAGTTTTTTTCTTTTTTTTTGCCGGCAAATTTAGTATGCACTTTTTGTTGAACATTACAATTTCACTTTGAGCACATCTGCGCGCACATTTGAGCTCAAAACTGAGCGTGCTACGTCCACCCTCGTTGAGTACTGTAATTGAGCGAAGAGGCATCTTTGTTGCTTTGCTCTGAAATGCTCAGCAATTCTCTGCAACTCTGCTGATGCTGTGCGTGAGTTTTGACATTTCCTTCTTTTGCTCCATTTTGAGTGGTTTTGATATTTGTTTCCTTTGCTACATTTTGAGTGCTTTTTTGTACAGATTTTTAGCTATGACTAGAGCTGTTGAGCATGAATTTGATGTCAGTCGTGCTCAGTGCGTTGAAAACGTCGAACGTCGGTCATAATTGGCGCAGTCGAGCAAACAGCAAAAAAGGACGTGCGTTTTAGAGTCGGCAACACGAGAGCAACCCACACAAAAAAAAAATTCAAAAATAATTCCTTAAAAAACAAACGCTTCAAAAACAAATCGTATATATCGTCTGATGTTTGTGTAAAAAAACAACAAATATTAAAATAAAAAGTACACACTTGTCGAAATACACTTTTTTTCATCCCGCACATGCGCGAAGTTTGCGCCCAACAAAATAAACTAAAAAGCAAACGCAAAAAAATAGACAAAAACGAAAACGACGACGACAAAAAAGGAGCAGCAACAACACACGCACACAAAGCTTTGCCCGGTTGCCCGCCGCCGTCGAGTAGTCTGTGCGTGCGTGTGCTTGTTTGTGTGTGTGTGGGAGGAGTGAGCGCGCTTTTTGCCTCGCACGCACTTTTTTGTAATCTAACGGTAACGCAGCCGAGTATAAAGCAGCACAGCTAAATCGAAAGCAGTGCTAACCGCAACAGCACATAGGAAAAGATCTCCTTTTTGTTTAAAAGGTATGTAAATAATATTTTCCATTTAATAATAAGTAACTGCAAATTAGTTGTAAACAAGAATTATTGTTTTGGGCCATTCTGGTTTTTGGCTTTCGACCGCTACGTGTACAAACATACATACTTATATACATACGTATATATGTAAGTATGTATGAATGTACGTATGTATTTAACCTTCAAATATTTTTGTGTCTAAGGCAAATAAATTAAAAAAGCAACCGCAGGTAGCACAACACACAACTGCACTGCACTTTTGCATAAACAAATAAACAAAGATATAAAGTGCATAATTATATGTACATACACACGTATACTACACATACTTAGAACCGCACAAATGTATGTACATACATATGTGTATATATTGCTTTATGTAAAGCGCAAATGGCAAATTGTTGAGGCATCGGTGTGTTAAACTGATTATATAGTACGTTAATGAATTGTTTTTGGGTGCTAGGATTATTCTTAATCTTTTTGTAATTCCATTAAATCATTTTGCTTGATAAATAATTACTATCTTATCTGTATATGGAGAGAATATTCGTTACTATTTCATTTAGTTTTGAGAGCTAAAAGAATCCTCAATCTGCATAGATTCTTCTTTGGACCTTAATTTTATGAATTTGGTTTCTTAAATATACTTGTAAAAAGAATTAGCCAATCCTATTCTAAAGCAATTGCATAAATTATGAAATTGATATAACTCGATTATTCCTCTCAAATTTTATAAGATCCCATAATTGATATCAGGAAGGAAATATGTAAAATATTTTACGTTTAAAAAATCTTTCGCTTATCTAGTTATGTTAGGTTGATCGAAGGAAGCCATCACCAACTCTTTTCAGATATAATTTTATAATAAAGTCACAGAATGAATGCTAAAGTGTAATATTCATTTTTTCTAACACAAATTCAATCATTTAAGACTACATTTCAAAAGTAAACTTTTCAATTTCTGACAGTTTTCGTCATTGCCTGTACATTTAAAATATAGTTTTGTTTTGGAAAGATTTGTGAAACCATTTTTTACCTAAATCAGCTAAATATTGTACCCATTCAAGATTTCCTTTTAAAGGGCTTGCTATTTTCGTCATTATATCTCATTCTTTAGAATATAAGTTAATGTTGATGTTTTATGGTACAATTTACAGAAACAAGTGTCCTAAAAGCGCATCTTACATCACTTTTTACACCATAGATATTTATTCGCATACTTCTTTCAGAAACAAACTTCTAAAGGGCATGCTACTTTCGTCATTATCGGCTTCTTTTTTTTGCCTCTGTTTATTTAGTTGCTGAGTGCTGCTTTTTCTAGCTAACCTTACACACACTCCAACACATTCACACACACACCAACACATTCACACACAGGCACACACATTTGCTAAAAATGCAACAGAAAGAAATTCTAAAACAATATTTCAGAAATCTTTCTGGCTTTTAGCCGATCTTGGTGATCTTGTTTTTTGCCGCACACCATAATCATCGTAATCATCATTATGAACATAATGATCTTCAACATCATTATAAGCTTTGGGTGTCCGGGCTGTGGGGGGGGCTGTGGAAACTGCAAGACAGCCTGCCAGCTAATTTTATTTGTTTACATGTCGACTCACATGTTGTTGTTGCTGTTACACGTCTTTGGCTTTTTAGCAGCCTTTCTTCATTCGCATCATGATGTTGTTTTGTTTTTTGTTTTATTGTAATAATTTAAATTTAGACATGCAACTATAATTCAAAGTCAACGTTGCAATTTTTTAATGGCAAGTGCGACGGCAAAGTCGGCGAAGCTGCCAAATGCATTAAATATTATATTTTTGTACATTGTGCATTTATTTTTAAAATGATTTCTTTATATTTTTTTAAACATGTATTTTTTGGCAGCCATTTCATTGCTGTTGTTTTTGTTTTTGTTCTTGTTGTTTGTTATTGCTGCCGTGTGTCATCGTTGCATAAAAATGTAAAATGATTGTCAGTTTCGTTGATTTGTCATTTGTCGCCGTTGCAGCCAGCTAGAAGGTATACTATAGAGACAGATAGATAGATAGATAGATAGGATAGGATAGATAGAGAGTTGGCTGTAGCCGTGTAACTGTTTGGGGATTATTGCAAACGACAGTTCTAAATATGCCTCTTGACAAAAGATCAGCGCAAGAATGCGATAGGCGATGCCAAAACGTAATGGGGCTTTCTTGTCAAGTTGCATTCTACAGATGAACTACCCCAATATTTCTTCTAATGCATATTGTAACACCTAGAAATGTAATCTCAAACAAATCTGAGCTTGGTATTATTGTTTCTTAAGCCCCATCACTATACATTTTAATTTCAATCCCAATCAACTTTTTGAGATTTTTTCTGTGACTTTTGTAATTATAACATTGAGTATCATATCTGTAATCAAAGTGATTTCTTTTTCCATATGAGTGCTTGATATTGTTGTGTGGTTATTAATACTTTTTATCTAAATCAAATGAAGAGTCTGTTTTATTATAACTATGCATGTTACGTAATAGAGTTACAAAAGATTGAACAACTAGAAAATAGAGAATCTAGAGAACGTTCTAACGTTCCATTTTAGTGGAAATTGGTTTATAAAAATTGTATCTTTTCTAGTCTTCTTAACATGTAATATGCTCATAATTCGAGCTAATATTTAAAAACAAGCAAATCTATTTTTAAGGGCATTCTTTATGGCGTGCTCTTTCTTTAATGTTTCAGGAGTCTTTAAAGAGTTAAAAAAAAGGTTTTTGCTTTATAAAGTATTACTTTTATAAAAAAGACAAATTTGTAGCATTAGACGGAATTTTCGGATTTAAATTAAATCAGAAACTGATGGTCTTCAGATCAATAAAAAATTGATTGATATAATAGTTTATTTATATTATATTAAATTTATAGCTAATTAAACTAAATTAAAATATATATTATTTCACAGATTTTTAGTCAGAGCTTGGAGGTGTTGTACATTTTACAAAACTTATAAACTTTCACCGATCTTTCATCCAGATTAGACATATTTTTGATACAATTTGTGGCACCTTCCAAGAGTTACATTTTAATAAATTTTCCGCAATTTTCGAATTGCCAAAAAGTTGTTGCGCATTTAGTGGCAATTTATTTGTTATTTTTTTCTTCTTGTTACGAATTTTATTGTTGTTGTTGTTCTTTCTTTTGCTGAAAAATTGCACGTCCAAAGGCGTGAGGCACAAAAATTTGTGGCCAATTGTGTTTGAGCTTTTAAGTAAATATTATTAAAAACGCAAAACGTCAGTAGCTGGCATCTAAAATATCTGCACTACTTATGCATAATTGATGGTACAGGAACCGTTTTCGTTGCGCACGACAAATGCATTTCTCTATATTACATAGATGCTGTAAATACATATGTACATATACATGTAAGTATTAGATACATTTGTGTGTGTGTCTGTAAATTTAGCATATTTATTTAATTTAGCTAGCGGTATTTTTAAAGCCAAATTAATTGGCTTGTTATATGGCGGTGTCAGATAAAACAAAGCTGCGCACTTACAAATATATTTCTACTATATATGTATTCCCAGTAGGACTCTTAAGTTTGCAACAATACAATATTAGAGCATGTAAAGACTAGGGAAGGTGTTTTTGGAAATTACAGACAGTTATTATCATGGTTTTGAATTTATTTAGATTCAATATTCAAAGTCCAATCAAAGTTATTTTAAATACGATTAATGAAATATAGGCTCTACGTTTTATTTTAAATTTGTATATTATTTATAAATTCTTATATGATATGATTTATTTGTATGAACTGTAATGGAAACCATGTATAATTAATATTAACTAGCTACCTCGGAAAGAAAATTTAAGCATTCTCTGTCACATTGTTATGTTTTCATAATTTTCTTATTGTTACATTTCACAAAAAGGTTAAGTTTTTACAAAAAATCATTGGTTTTTTGTAAGTTTTGATATATTAATTATATTTTCTAGAATTTATTATGATATTTGAATATATTTCATACATCAACATCTTTGTTACTTTGCTTTTTTAATTTAACAAATCGAGCAAGGTTTTCTTATTAATGCCGTCCCTTAAATTCCTACTGGGTATAAAAAACCGCACACACACGCATACGCATAGACCCATCTCTGTGCGATGAATGTGCAATGAAATGGAAGTAAAGGCAACTTTTTGCTTGGCAAGTTTTTTGTCTGCATCATGATTGCTTCTTTTTTCCTTCCTATTTTTTGTTGTTTTTGACACGCCACACATAGCAACAACAACAGCTACAGCCAGTCAGCAACAAAATATGGCCAAAACTAAAGGCCAAGTGTAAAATTAATATTACGCCGGCTGTGCTGTTGCCTGTTCTGCCTGTAAAGGAGAGGGGCAGAGCGAGGGGGCGCAGCCAAAACTGAAAAGTAAACTAAACATGTGCTAGTCGTTTGCCCGTCAGCCCGCCTCACGCACCCGTCCCCCCACGTGCCACCCCCAGCTACGCCTGCACGTAAAAATACTTATGCATGCATTCGCAAGTGAAAATGTGAAAATGCGAAAATGGAAAAATGGAAAATTCTGTGCTGTGGCAAAATGCGCAGAACAGAAGAGAAAGAACAGCAAGGAAAAAAATGTTTTTGTTGAAAAATCGGTGAAATATAAAAAGGCAAAATTGCAGGCAACGCCAAATCGTGCTTTGTGCATTATAAAAAATTATTTATATTTGCAGTTTTAGTTTCGTTGCAATGCTCTTTTTCACCCCTTCTACTCGTGCATACATATTTACATGCCTATATAGTAAAATATATACACACTATACATATGTATATATACACGTATATATTGGTGTTGGCTGCAAAGCTACTTGTTGTTTATTTTAATGGCCAGTTGCTATTTAATGTTTATAAAACATTGCAGCAATGCCATGAAAGACAAAGCAAGGGGCATTACAATTTAATTGCAATCAAAGCTAAAGGCACACAACTACGACTAGAAGTGCAGACAAAAAAAACATTAAAGAATTACTATTTTCAATTCAAATATTTCAAAATTTATGTAGATATTATAAATAGAGAAAGAGATTAGGCATTAAGTTCGAAGGTTGATGAAAAGTTATCGTAAGCCTGTAGCAAACAAAAATGTGTTTGATTGATTTAGAAATAGCTGTTAATAAATCAAGGATGGAATTGAATTACAAATTCCAACTGACTACAAAAAGGTTAAGCAACAGGCGACAACTATTTAAAGAATTTCGTTAGCTTTATTTCGGTTAGTCTTTAAAGACAGATTTACCAATTTTTTGCTCAATGCTAAAACAGAGTCCGAAATATAAAAAAATAAACAACTTACCAACTGGATAGAAAAGTAAGAGAGTAACAAACAATAACAAAAATACATGCATAATGAAGAGTAGCTGCGTTTTAAAAAATTAATACACCAAAACCATTTTTGTTTTAAAAAACATTCGCTTGAGAAACAATCACATTTCTATAAGTCGCACAACACTTTTATTTTTTGCGAGAGATTCAAGACCAGCGCTTAATCTTCCAAGTACTGGGCAGGATCAGGAAAATAACCAGCAAAATAGACGCTATTTAGCAAACAGCTGTATTGCCTTCGCTTACCTAAGTAGAGCAGCAACCTTTCGATGATTGTTGTAATTCACTTAAATCCTTTTTCTTTTTTATTATTAAACTCGCAAAACTCTCTACACGGCAAGGCACGGCACGGCTGGGCTGGGCTGCTATTTCGCCTTAAACTTTAATCCACAAAAACTGCCGGAAAATTTGTTCGCTAATCAAGGCAGTTTTTGTGCTCTAATCTCAGGAGCTTAAGCTCGCAAATCTGCCCGAGCAGGACGACAACAAGGACCCAGACACAGACGCGAACGCGAACACGGATCAATGCACATGCAAATCCAACGCGTAATTTCTCGTTGTTTGTTTTAATCCAGTTTGAATGGATCAGTAGGAGAGTGTACCTGACTTCCACCCATACCTCGTGAGCAATCCGTTTAAGCGCGTGCGCAATCCGCTACCTGCGAAATATATAAGCGGCTGATCCTTGCAACTTGCAACTCAGTCACGCATTTGCTTCTTTAGCAGCAACACGCACAGTGCGCGTACGAATCGTATTAACAAACAAAAAAGCTAAGCGGCAAACAAATAGCGAGTGACACACAATTTCAACAATTTGGATTTCGAACCACAGCAGCAACAACAACAATAAACGGTAGGTGGCTCAGCATATAGCCAGTGGATTTATATATGCAACAGCCATTTTTTTAACCACAACAAAAAACTGAAAAGTGCTCAATTTTTTGTGTTCATGTTGAGTGAAAAAGCGATAAGTGAACCACCACGCCACCCTCCTTCTAATCCATCGTTTCATACAAACCCAACCACCCCGGCAAGGCAATTTTTTTCGTATTGTTTTGGTAACCACCCCCTGCCAAAGGCACTCGGTCGCTTTAGGGGTGGCAATGCAAAATAAAAACGTGCCACAAATAAACAAAAAAAGGCAGCCAGCACGAAAAAATAAAATGAAAGCGCACAAAAAGAAATTAAATTCGACGCAGGCGCACGGCCGAGCTCTGAAAATCAGCGAGGGAAAGTCAATTCCTGCTTCTCAAATGCTAATTCAATAACAGGAGCTTCTTTAATTCCTGAATATAATGATTTCGAAGCAGTTTTATAATTTAAAAGAATGTTTTTGAGAGCTTTGAGTGGACACAAAAAAGGAATTGTTTGTAGGAGTTTCACTCACAAAAAATTTTCCAAAATATTTGCTACAAATTTTCAAACAAAACACAGAAATGGCTTGCGCCATTTTTAAATGAAAAATTTAAAATACCTAGGAACATTTTTTTAGAATTGGATACTTCTAGGGTACTTAACAAACATTATATTTTTATAAAGAAGTGCAGTTTCTCTGCAATTCTTCTTAGCAAACATTAATTCATATCTAGAATATTTAAGCAACATTTACACGTTCTCCTCCTTTCTTCTTTACATACAACCCATGACATATTTACTAATTTTATAATATTTTTTATTATCTTTGCAGCAGCAACAGTTGAGTTGCCAGCGATATGCAAAGTTGGGAGGCCATGCAGACGGCAGTTAATTACGAGCAGCACAACGCTTGGTACAACAGCATGTTTGCTGCGAACATCAAGCAGGAGCCGGGTCTGGTTGCTGGCAATGGGGACAGCAGCAGCCCCAATTCGCCACTGCCCTCGCCCATACCGGGTGCTACACAATTGGAGCAGTATCTGAAGCAGCAGCAGCAACAGCAACAACAACAGCAGCCAATGGATACATTGAATGCCGCCGCAGCACTGACTCCCTCGCCCAGCAACAATGACAACAATAGTCTGCAACATTTTTATGAGGCCAGCAACAATGTGGCCAGCAGCACGCTGCAGCAACAGTTTCTGCAACAGCAGCAGTATCAGCAACATTTTCAGCATGCGCAGCAAACTGCTGTTCAACAGCAGCAACAACAACATCATCATCATTTGGCGCTTGGCTTTAACCCATTGACGCCCCCCGGCTTGCCAAATGCCGTGCTGCCTGGCAGCAATTTGTCGATGCAACATTTCTATGCAAATATGCGACCGGGACAGCAACAGACGCCTAGTCCGCAGCCCTCGACAACAGCTGCCGCGACAGCAACAACAGCGGGCAGTGTGGCCATGGATGTGGCCGAGAAGCTGCAATCCGCATTAACCCCACGCAGCACCCCACCCATGGATGTGACGCCGCCCAAATCGCCAAAGTCAATAAATGGCGGAGCCGCTGCCTCAGTGGCCAGCAATGAGCCAGAGAAGGAGCACGATTTGATTTCAAATTCGAGTGAGGACATGAAGTATATGGCCGAATCGGAGGACGATGACAACACCATCCGCATGCCCATCTATAATTCGCACGGCAAGATGAAGAACTACAAATGCAAGACCTGCGGTGTGGTGGCCATCACAAAAGTCGCATTTTGGGATCACACACGCACTCACATGAAACCCGACAAGATCCTGCAGTGCTCCAAATGTCCTTTTGTCACAGAATTCAAGCACCATCTGGAGTACCACATACGCAAGCACAAGAACCAGAAACCATTCCAGTGCGACAAATGCAGTTATACGTGTGTGAACAAATCTATGCTGAACTCGCATCGCAAATCCCACTCATCGGTGTATCAGTACCGGTGCTCCGATTGTGATTATGCCACCAAGTACTGTCATTCATTCAAGTTGCATTTGCGCAAATACAATCACAAGCCCGGCATGGTGCTCGATGAGGATGGCACTCCAAATCCTTCGCTAGTTATTGATGTCTATGGCACGCGTCGAGGGCCCAAAAACAAGTCCGTCTCGGGCCCAAGCGGTTCGAGCAGCAAGCGCGGAAATGCCCATCAGCACCATCATCATCATCAGCAACAGCAACAGCAGCAGCAGCAACAACATGCGGAATTAAAACCTGCCATTTCACAGTTGTCGGCAGCACTCCAAGGATTTCCCACAACAGCAGCAGCAACGAGCACGGCCAACAATGTGCTGCCAGCTTCACCAGCGAAGAGCGCCGCCAGCGTCGAACTGCCCAGTCTTCTACAGAAGCAGCAGCAACAGCAACAAAAGCAACAACAACAACAACAACAACTGCAGCAACACCAGCAGCAACAGCAACAGCAGGCGGCTGCCAATTTGCTGCCGCCCCTGGCCTCGATATTGCAGCAGAATCACAACATGGCCTTCTTCCCGTACTGGAATCTCAATTTGCAAATGTTGGCTGCCCAGCAGCAAGCGGCCGTGCTCGCCCAATTGTCGCCACGCATGCGCGAACAGCTGCAACAGCAGCAGCAGCAACATGCGTCTGGCAGCGATGAGGAGGAGCATGAGGATGATGATGAGCTGGAGCGTAAGTCTGTGGACTCGGCCATGGACTTGTCACAGGGCACGCCCACCAAAGAGGAAGATCAGCAAACGCCCACCGTTGCCACACATGTGGCCATGAATTTGAAGCTGAAGGACGATGATACGCCACTGATCAGCAGCAGCAGCGCCTCAAGGCGCAAAGGACGCGTCCTCCAGCTGGACACACTGTTGCAATTGAAGTCCGCCTCGTTGTCGCCGGAGCATCTGAAGGCGCCCGCAACTGTAATGCCCACTGCCTCGTCCCCCATTGCGGGCAGCAGCAACAAACAGCTGGCCGATGAGCATTGCTCGGGCGCCTCCTCCGCCGATGAGTCCATGGAAACAGGCAATGCGTTGCCCACCAATGGCGCCACTCAGCAGGCAAATATCAGCGCCAGCTCGACCGCATCCTCCTCGGGCAACAGCTCCAATGCCAGCACATCCAGCAGCACCTCGTCCAGCAATCAAGCTGCCACAACAACAACGCCCGCCTCCAACTCCGGGGGCAGCAACAATAGCAACAACAGCAACAACAGTGGAACGCCTGCGGCTGCCGGCGCCATCTACGAGTGCAAGTATTGTGATATCTTCTTCAAGGACGCGGTCCTCTACACCATCCACATGGGCTACCACAGCTGCGATGACGTCTTTAAGTGCAACATGTGTGGCGAGAAGTGTGACGGACCCGTTGGACTCTTCGTCCACATGGCGCGCAATGCTCACTCGTAAAAATCGGTCGAGACTCTTTCATTTTTTGTTAATTTTTTATCATTTTCTCGTTGTCTTGAATTGTACATAATCATCAATTATTTGTTGTCCAGAATTGTAAATAAGCCAAAAAACCTAACTACTAATTTTAGTTGTAAGTCCTCTAACCCCCCAACCACCCTTCTTCTTTCCCCTTCATTCTCCTTTACTCGCCATGCATCTCGCAAGTTTCCTTTATGATTGCTCATTAGTTTCTAAGCCTGTCGATGAACCTCAAAACGAACGAAAGAAACCAAATCAAAACAAAACAAACAACATTTTCGAACAAGAACCCTGAAAAAGGTTTAAAAAAATTGTAATACATAAAAATGTATTGTCAGCGCATCATTTGCACAACTTCTACCTAATAATAATTATAATTATTATTTACATTATACATTTAAGTGAAGCCAAAAACTCAAGCCAAGTCAGGAACAATCCAAAGTCAAATTAATTGTGTAGTGCTATCGATATGGAATTAAAGAATTTAGTTTTTATTTTAGTTGTACGTTATTCGCTCGCTAATTCGACATTTAGTTCTATTCTTATTTAATATGACAATTATTTAAAACCAACACACAATTGAATAAATAAATGCAATTTATCAAAATACAACTTTCATTTGTTTTTCCTTTTGATTTTCTCACTAAAAAAAACAATCTTTGGCAAATGGACAATAGTTTTAATACAAAAAGAAGTACAAATTCAACGATTTTTAAAAGGCACACATTATAAATGAAAAAAAAAACACAAAACACTTTCTGTTTATAAACAATTATTTGTAGCGTAAAATGTTGTACTATACAAGTAAGATGGCTACCAAAAATTTACAATCTGAGCAAATGGATCAAAATTAGAATTTAAAACTAAGTAGTACTTTGTAAGCGAAGGCGCAATAAATTGAAAAGCATTTTATGAGAGCCCAGTGTAAACTAAATGAAAATTTTATGTATTTCTAAGAGGTCTTGCAGATAAGTTGTCATGTTTTTAATTAATAAATAAAATCCAAATTATAAAACTATTCAATTGTGAGTTTTATTTTCACAAACCTAAAGTCTACAAGCTATATATTTAGAAAAGCTGAATGAAAATTTGCTGAAGTAAACAAAATTTAAATAGCTTCCCATAAAAAAATAAAAACAGTCTCTCTTTTAAAAAAGTACAATGTTTAATAAATGGGTTGTCATCAAAAAGTTTCCACGATTTAACTTGAACTCAGCTAAAAACTTAATTTCTCATGTTTGCATGTTTGCTTTTCAAAAAATAAATTCAAAAACTTTCATTCATGCAGAAATGCATATAGTATGTATGGAGTATTTATGTATTGTGCATTTTCTGTTCTACCTGGGTCTTAAAAAAAAGATGAAAATAGTTATGAATTTATAAGTACCTAAGGATTTTTGATGATGAAATTTACATTTACATTTAGTGAAGGACTCCAAAGATTGGTTGGCCGAGTTTTCCAGCAGCAAGGAGCAGAACTTTTATGAGAGAAGCATTATGAATCTATTTATGGAATGCCAAGAAGTCATTAAAAAAGACATACATATATATACATATATACACTGCGCGTCATCAGGTTAGCGCCTCCCTTTATATTCTCACTAAATTCAATTTTTATTTTTTTAATTTGCGAGCTACAAAAGTGTGTTGTAATGTTTTTATTTTATACTTTAAATATTTTTAAGCAAAATTAATAGTCTGCAGTTCCGGCTTTGTTACCAATTACTTCATAGATTCGATTGGGTATTGTATCATACAGTTTTCCAATTTAATTTAAGAACCCAGCGCGTTTATTCCTTCAATTATATATACGTGTATGTACAGGGTGCGCCATCTTTTATGTCGGTATGTAAATATTGAATAACTTTGTCATTAGTGAACCGATTGACTTGAGTAGACCAGTGTTGAAAACCTCAATTCAAGAAATTGTACAGAACAAAATTAAATAAAAATATCTCATACTTGAAAATCGGTTGTTTATTTTCAAAGATATTCAATGTTTACATACCGACATAAAAGATGGCGCACCCTGTATGTATATATACGGCACATATAAAATGAAAACATGTACTGATAGTACATAAACAGAATTGGAATTCCGCCCATTTATAAATTGATCATTTTACTTGATCTAATTATGACTTGATAATAATTTTTAAATTGATCTTTTCTAAGTACTAAAATTTTTTGTAAAATATTTAATTTTTTTTAAACAAGTTTCTTGTGATTTACTCAAAAATATTGTTTGCAAAAATTTCCTTACAATTTTAAGTATAAGCTAATTTTGTTTACTACATTGTGTGCAGCATGGTTGTTGCCTTTTTAAAAGATTAATAATACTTGTATTAAGAACAAATACACGCTTCAACTTATTACTACCAAACGCATCGTTGAAAAATGAAACTAAATGTTGGCAGCATATGTTCCTTTTGGTTGTCATCGAAATATCCTTAAGAGCAAACAGTCCAAACACGGTTCATGTATGTACCAAGAGTTCTATGGGCTCCCTGACCAATGGCAACTGTCAACAGTGCTTATAGAGGGAATGATTTATCGAAATTACCGAAAAACCGCACAATGTAATGCAATGGGAAATGTGAAAAGTTTTTCCGGCACAAAACTGCTGGATCATGCGCTAATCAGCTGCGCTCAATAGGGAGCGTGCGGGTGAGCCAACAGCAAATTGAGGCAGGACCACAAAGGACCCAACAATTTTGATGGATTATTGACACACACATCACACGCACACACACACACATTCTCTCACATACTATACTATATATTCATATTCAGTTAAACGAGGAGCGAAATTATAAAATGATGAAACACTCATAAGCAAGCAGGCTACGCCTCGAGAAGCGCCGAGGATGATGACGCAGCAGCTAAGGAAGCGAGCCTCAGAAGGTTGCAAGATCTGGGGTCTGGGGTCAGGGGTCGTGGCTCGAGGGTCGTAAAATGAAGATTATGCGCATGCGCTGAGCGCGCGCGTTTCTCAAACAAATGGCGCGTGTTTGTCGAGTGGCAGAGAAAATTTGAAAATTTGTTTCCTTCGGAGTTTTCTTGCTGCTGCCACATGTGTGGCGAGGCAGTCTCAGTTTAAAAATAGTTGCATTTCTAGTTGCCTGCTTGTGATTGGAGGAGAAATAGGAGGGCGATCGCGAGGGCGACGCATTGTTTTTCGTTTAAAAATTCAATTTCCAATTCCAAAATTTAAATGCCGTTTTTCCTCATTAAATTCAAACATAATTGATATTTATGACTTGCATTTCGATCGAAGGCACTTCCAGGGGCGCAGTTAAAATTTAATTTGAATGGCAATTATTTATATACTCGTACACATACAAGAAGTATAGTATATATGCCCATATATACCCACATATGGAAATAAACTTCCAGAAGCCATCAGATTTAATCATAAACGAAATCCTTTTAGGCAGTCAAATCCTTTTGCCCTTTTGAGCGCATTTAAGCAAATGCAATATATATACGAGTATAGACATATGTATTCGTATATCTGCTGATGCTTATCACAGGCACTGGGTTCCGAAATACTAGACATACGAGTTTTATGCTACCCTCATTGTATTTATTTGCCACTAAAGATTCTTGCTTTTTTGGTTTGTTTGCAGCGCTTATCTCGGCTTGTGGCATTGTTGCATCTTTCCGCATTTTGCTGCCTTTGTGTGGCTCACAAAAAAAGAAGAGAAACCCTTAGGAAACTGGCCAATTTTTGTCTTCTTTTTTCTGCCCCTGCTGCCACTCAATAGTTCAATTGCCTGAGCACTCTGTCTGACTGACCATTTGAAAGGTGTAATTTTGGTTTCTGATGCTGCGCATGCGCACTTTTTTCCTCCTTCTCCTTATTTGGTTTGGCCGGACTGCCTGCGGCTCGAAATGCCAGCTGGCATTCTAACTATTGTCCACTTTTTCTGTCTAGTTTCTAGAGTTTCCTGCCCAGCATTTTGCACCTTTTCGCTGGAACTTGTACGAGTAGTTCCTCATATTGGCTATTGATTTGGTCAACTAATTTGAAGTTTCTGATTGAATGGCTGGGGCAGTGCATTTATTTGTTTGGGACACGCGCCCAGCACGCGTCCTCTTCGCTTATCTTAGGGTTGAGTATTTGGGCTTTTAGTGAACAATTGCTGCATTAAATAAATATAACATTTTTATAGGGGTTTAAGGAATAGTCTTGATTTCATTGGAACCTGCTCAGACTTTCACAGAAGAGCGTCAGAGATGTTCCTTAAAATTATGAGCAGACTGGCAATTAGTTTGCACAAAAATGTATACAATCCTTATCCTTAAGTTCTTGATCAATTTTGTTTTGTAACAACTTGGTTGTTGTATAGAAAATGATTGCTTTTGATTAAAGTTACATTCCAGAAATAATTTGTGTGGGGTGGGGTTCAAATCCTTCACTCGACTTATAAAGAAGAGCAGACCATGTCTCGACTTATAAAGAAGAGCAGGCCTTGTCTTCAGAACTGCCTTAACTGCAACTCCAAGCCTAATCCATAATGTAAAAATGTCTTATGGGTGCTAAGTATAGCTGAAGAGGCAAATATAGTGTTTAAGTTGTTATAGTTTTTATAGAGTTTTAATGAGTTGAATCAATGTAGCTTTTAGAGATGGGTCCTGCGAAGCACAAACAATTCCTTTCTACAACTATCCACTTGGTCTCTCTATTTTAGATCTTAGATCTTAGATTTTGTCGTCAGCTTTTAAAGGCAAACTTTTTTAAAGAGTTAAAATAATTGTAAAAAGCTAGCATAGTCATTTCTTGCTTTCTTTTACCTAAGTTGTAAAAAACTTTGATATTAAAAAAGTTATAAATCAAAACATTGAATACGGAAAATAAAATTGTATTCACACGGGAAGAGGATTGCTTCGTGTTATTTTATATTTAAATTATATATTGCTTTCTAATCATATTCTCAGTAATTAGTTGAATAGTTGTCAAAACAAAAATCTGTATTTAAAAACTAAAAAAGTTGTAAATAACAAAATACTATAATCATTTTTTGTGGAGATATTTTATAAAACTTTGTTACTAAAACTGTTTCCCAAAATGTTTTTAATTGTTTTCATTTTTTACAATAAAAAATTTTTTTCCATATTTGTTTCTCTTGTTGCTTACATTCCTAAGTCTTTAAGTCTCCATCAACGAATCTGATTCGTTATTATATAGAAATTATTGTATTCTAATTTTGATAGCATTTTTTATGTTGTATATAATTTTTACTGATGTTTTTCTTGACATTGTCTCTTGCCTTTGTGTCGAAAGAAATATATTCATATTTCAGTTTACAATGTTGCTTTAGATGAGGTGTTTTTTATTTTAGTTAGCCACTCTGTTAATTAAAAATGTCCCTTCTACACAACCAGTTTAATTATCTTCTCTCTTAAGAGTCTAACATTATTTGGTTTCATTGGAATTCGGGATACACCTAGCATCGGCCCCAACACGTTTTTCTTCATCAATTTGGTCTAAACTGCTGCTTGTTAGCAGCACCTACTTAAAAATTCGTTACACCTACCGAAAGGATCCAAAGGTTCGTTCTGGACATC